TTTTTTGTCACATCAACTTAACATATTCAGGATCCTATAGACATATCCAATAATATCCATTTATATCAATCACATATATTACATATCAGATATTGTCGAATGTCGGTATCTATCAATCGCTACAATCTATATCAATATCAGTAGTTCAATCTCTATGAATATTCACATACGGCAGGAATATGGGCCATATCATATCTGGTTTGCCCGAGGATCATACAATCATATCCCCATCAAATCCATAACTATTACAATCAAGTCGGAATTTAAAATCAATGGAAAAAGAGAGAGTAAGTTTAGTTAATACGATAAATCAATTTTTTGAATGTTAGATCTAAGAGGCCAAGTCAAATCAATTCGCGAATCAATACTGGTTAACGAAACGAGTACTATCAAATACAATCTTCTATGCCGTACTCCATATCTATTGTTTCCATCTCTTGTCACGTATCAATCCCGGCGATTGTCAAATAATCAATAAATCAAATAGTTATAAAATGCTCAACATGTGCATCAATCCAATGAAAATTTAAATGAATCTGTACGATACCAGTTAAAAGAACGATCAATATCAATTAAAGCACCAGGATATCGGAATAAAACAATGAAATCCGTTCAATAATAAATCATGCAATAAAATCCACATCAATAATCAATAAAATCAATTGGAAATCAATAAATCAATGCATATCAAGGAAATCCATACGAATGTGCAATATCGGATACATGCAAATTCCATTACAATGGTTCGTACTCGACAAGCACAAACACTAGCTAAATGATCAATAGTGTTGTTGTCTGCTAGGAAATCCATAGTGTTGTGTAGATAGAATTCCATATTGCTTGTTGTAGATATCCCACCACGTATTGGTTTCAACAAGAAGAGTCGTCACCTCTTTTTTGCCCGTCGCGGCCGCCCGTCGGGCCATATAAAACTCCTTATGACCTCAGCCTATCAATTAGCTGGCTTGTTTGTAGAAATCCATAATCGATATTTAAAGGAAAGCCCGTCGGCCCACCATCCTGTACAGGTCTATCTATCTCCACATCAACGTTCAACCAGGTTTCCCACTTGCTTTCAAGTCTCAGTAACAAATCAATCAATTGCACATAATCGATTGCAATAAACA